CGCTATTACTTTGAAAAAAAAGTTCCAACTTTCAAAAAAAAATTAAATCACATTAAAAAAACATTTTTTTTAAAAAAAAGTCAAATGGTGAAAACTTGTGTAAAAGTACCATGGATATCTATAAAAATTTGAGAAAATAAGACGGTTGAAAACTTTCAAAATACTCTAATTCAAATCATTTTTTGAAGATTTTGGAAAATTACAGCTTTTTTTAAAAAAATTAAATTTTCGGTACGACAAGTTCCAGCTATTTGCCTTAAGGCACGATGCCATCATGCACCACTAGTTTTTATGCTTCAAATTTCTTTGCCAAAAACTAATCAGCACGTTTCTCCATCAATAGGAATCGAATGCTTTGGAATCATTCTAATTGGATAAAAAAATTGTATCCACACGTACATACACACTTTGCTCAGTTAAAAGATAAGTATAAAATCAAGATAAGAATGAAGACATTCTAGATCCTACCCCCACGAAGTAATGCCTAACTGCGATTTCCGTGGGACAAGAATATTTCGTGGAAAATTATACCAGCGCGGTATTGAGTCCGACATACTCAGACGAAAGACCTAGTCTGGGATGCATAAATGCATTTCCTTCTTCTTCCTTCCTTCCTTCCAAAAAAAAAACACACACACGCACATACACATACCTCATATATACATTTTTTCTAAGGTATGCCAAAATGTTCAGAAACGTAAAGATATATAAAAATTTTCATTTTCGATTTTTTGGGGATTACTGTAACTCATCCTATGGAATGTTTGGAACAACTATTATGTGGACAAAGTACATTGCACGTCTCTGGACTTACCTGACAAAGTGTCCAGCAGATATAACAAATAATATAACATTTATTGTAATGAATTTATATTTGTTTACAATCTTCAGGAAAGCTTGAATAAAATTAATACATATAATTCATTAATAGTTATTTATGTACAACACCTTAACCTTACACTTCCATTATCTACGCACAACACAAACACATAGTGTAAAAATGTATTTTTAAATATTGCATACGATTTGCATTTAGTGAAACAAATTAATATATTAACGCACGGATATAATAAATTCATGATATCACTTTAGTTTTAAACTATTAAAATATGTATATTTATTTACAACTTGAAAGTTTTTTAAAATCAACGAACTTAACCTCAATCTCTCAAACGTCACTTTGTCATCTGTCAGTTTATCTTTGCTCTGAAGTTAGACACAGGCGTAATTTTATTTGTTCCGATCACCTTCATAAAGTATTTCGTCATACTGTCAATACAAAATCATAAAATCATTAAATAAACCTTAATATATTTAGTGATAAATCAAACAAATCGATTATGATGAATTGCACAGTGAAATCATTAATTGCGCCCTTGAGGTCGTACCGAAAACATGTCGTGAGGTCTATATGCGCCACTAGTGTGAGGAGGGATTCTTATAAAATTCAAGATATGAAAGATTTTGAAGATAAAGTCAAGAATAGCAAAGAGCCTGTGATTGTCGATTTCTTTGCAACGTGAGTAATAATGGTTAAACTAATATTTTATTAAAATACTTGGAATTTAAGGTTATTGATTTTGGTATAAGATAACAAATTGATATTTTTAATTTATTGCCAAAGATTAAATCAAAAGACTAATTGAGTTTACAGTGGTACATCGACATAGAAGTGTTTCTAGATACTATTAAATTTATTAAAGATATAAATTTCATTTCTCCATCTGCCAAAAAAATTATTACCTATCTATTATTATCCAGTTGGTGTAATCCCTGCCGCATGTTAACACCAAGACTAGAAACAGTCATTGAAGAAACCAAAGGAAAAGTATCATTAGCTAAAGTTGATATCGATGAAAACACAGACTTAGCTCTGGACTACGATGTAGCATCTGTACCAGTGCTCTTGGCTATTAAAAATGGAAAGGTCGAGAAGAGGCTAGTCGGTCTACAAGACAGTGATGTTCTGAGAAAATGGGTTCAAGATGTGATGGACGAGAAACAATAAGTTAATTGTTTGTAGACATATTTTACTGTACAATAATTGTTGTAAAGAAATAATAAATGCTTTGTTGTTGATTTTATTGTAGAATAAATATATCTATTCTTGCAATATTTGTTGTTTAACTGTAAAGGAAGGATTTATATGAGTTTCCAACAAAAATGTGCACTTACTTAGTTAACACCTAATTTACTTCTTCATTGGCCATACCATCTAATAAAATTTCTTTCCTACTTTTCCTATACCACAAAAAATTAAATCAAACAAACATTTACTCGTTACTTTAATTTTATTACAATTACAATTCTACTCCTGCAAGCTCTGCAACATTTTCCTAGCTCGCTTATATTTATTCTTACACGGTTTAGGTGTATTAAACTCTACACCATCTTTCTCAGCTTGCTCTTTTTGCTCAGTCCAATCAGACATTTCTTGAACAACTTTTGTACTTTGTTCAATAATCGTACTTCTAACTTTACCTTGAGATCCAGAAAAATATTCTATAACAACATCCCACAAATTATCTGGAATCTTGTCGCTGTCGAATAGATTGTCTGTCAGCCAAACCTGTCGGACTTTCTGGAATTTCCAGTTGGTTTTGTTGTTTTTCCAAGTGTCAAGGTACTCCCATGCTTTTTCGATGAGCTCGTTTGTGGATTTTTCTCGCTGCTCCTTTTGAGTTTTTTCTAGTTTTTCTCTTTTGAGTTGTCTTTTGGATATGACGTTTTTTTTGTTTTCGGGTTTTTTTAGTTCTTGGATGTCGTTTGGGGTTAATTGATAACCCACAGGGGCTTCTTGTATGTTAGAATCTTCTTCTACTGTTTCGTTGTCGACATCATTTTTTATTTTATTTCTCTTTTCTTTTTTCTTAATTTTGTCTCCAGATTGGATTAATATCGACTTTGGCTTTGGGGGTCTTTTTTGACCTGATTTTTTAACCTTTTTGACTTTTTTTGTAGTATCAACTTGGTCCTTAAATTTTACTTGTTTTGTCATATTTACAAATTTTATATACTTAAAGCACTAAATCTACAACAATAAGATTCAAATAAATACAATATTATTTAATAATAGCGTCACATTAAATCATAATTTAATAATTACAATTACTTCTTTACTTCTTATACTAAACAAAAAAATAAATAATATTTGACGTTTGTATCAATCCACGTGCTTTTTTATTTTCCGTTCATAAGTGTTGCCAGCGTTGAAGGAAAATAAATTAATGGCGGTATTTTCAAAAAACAAAGTTGAATAATGAAAAATTATTTACATTTCATTATTTTTAAACAATGATTATAATTATAAAGTTAATCTGGTAATCAATATACTAATATTAAAACTGAGTACAAAACACGATATGGAATGTATCAATTTTATTCTAATAATTATCATACATAATTATGATTTTAGTTAGAATAAAAATATCACTTATGACGTACTGGCATAATTAAATCTTAAATTAAATAATGATTAGTAAATTATTAAAAAGATGAATTTATATAGTGCAAAAATTACATTGGGCAAGATTTGAAATGTAATAAAATATGATGTAGAAAAGTTTAAAAAATTACACTAGAATTATTATGACTTTGATTTTAGCGAATAAGAAACTTGCATGAATATAAATGTCTTCTTAAGCAGATAATTAATTTTCTTATAAGCAGATAATTAATTAAAGCATCATAATATCATCGATATGTTTAAAAGTAATATAAATTTAATAAATAATACAGTCAGATAACTTATAATCACATTAACTAAACTTAATTATCACAATCACCTAAAATAATTAGTATTAAAGTATTTGGTCAAATTTACAAAAAAATTATGATTACTTTAATTAATAATTTGATCAATTAAACATTAAACAAAATTATTTCTGATAAAAGCCTTCTTATCATTTTGTTGAATAAAATATTAATTTGTGCTCTTGACTATGATAAATTAAATAAATAAACACAGATAATTTTTATATTCTTTCTTTTAGGTCTTTATAAAGAAATATTTGTAACAGTTCGAAAAAATTATAAAATATAATGGAAAAAAAAAACTAGAAAAATTAGTGATATAAAACAGTTTCAAAATTCTTTTTCGAGTTCCTTACTGTGAATATTGTTGATTTATTTTAATTATAGTATTTTGATCGATAATATATTTATATATATATATATATATATATATATATAATTCAAACTATTTAATTTACTGCTACAAATTCTACAAATTTTCTCATTAATAACAAACCAAGTATTGAAAAGCTACCGTTTTCCTACATTAAATGCAATTGTTAGAATTATTGTTTTACGAATTGTGTGAAGTCTTTGCATTTATAAACTAACATGAATATTATTGTAATTTGTTCTAATATTATTACTTGTGTGAAATACTAACATGTGGATATAAACTTGGCCGGTACTCGATATCTATAAAATTTTGTCTATCTAATAAAGGACATATTTAGTTTCAAAAATTAGAAATGTGTATAAATGACTTATGTAAAGTTTGTTTGGTTTTAACAAGTTAATCGCCGTGTCAGTCATATGTGTCTCACACTAAAAAGTTCTACACGAGCTATGCCAGACATATATATGCAATGGAGAAAAAAAGTTTTAATATTGGGCCATGTCAGTCATATATGAGTGACATAAAAAATAGTGTTCTGGCAAACAAAAAATCTTTGATACATTAAGTTTCCTTGAACTAAATCATCTAACAAAGTTACCATGGCCCATGTGAATTTTTTTCTGATATCATCATGCTAATTAACATGTTAAATATTTGTCACCTCCGTCAAAACAATATAAAATATTTACCTATAATCAACAAATACATCTTCCCTATAATCAATTATTACCTTTCACGGTACTCCCCAATGTCCAGCCCTCCACAGCAGTGCATGTGGCGCCCCCTTTCTCACATAACACCCGCCTCCTGCAGCAGCAGCATCACATGCAACATCACAACCAATAACTTCACCAGCATCCCTTGACGAGGTGTTATCACCTCCTGCAGGAGTCACATAACGTTCTATGAGACTCCGATAACCGAGCCCCACTGTGGCTATGAGAGGCTCGCAGCAGGCCCTTTCGCAACGGGGGTCCCTTGAAGTGAAACGAGAGGAGCAGGAGCGGGATATGGTGGATGATGATGGTGTTGTGGTGCTGGTGATGGTTGAAGTGTCGTCTTCGGATTGGTGTTCGTAGGTTAGAGGTATTATGGCGCTGACCTAGGGAATAAATAGTTGGAATCAGCATTGGTAACAGAAAACTATAAGGCAAAATGCCATTTACACAATAAAAACAGAAAAAGATGTATATATTATATTATATTATGTACTTTATTATATGTTTGAATATAACGGTCATATAATGTGACATATAAGTTGAGTATGAAGTTGGCTAAGATTTAAACAAGGCTAATGGCGGATTTGTGTTATGTGTAATGAAAGTGATGTAGAGAGTATTTTGAATATAGAAAATTGGTGATGAGTTAATGGTGTTTTGATATAAATTGTGAAAGAATCAAGTAATCCGACAGGCTATTACAATATTCATGTATATATTATTACCTGTTCCTCATAGGGCCTAAATATTGTAATAGGCCTAAGCGATTCCATTTCTGCTACAATTATACAACCCCATTGTGTTCCAATGTAAATTTCATCATTTAAAACACACATACTTGTTACCTATAAGAAAATAAAATATAGATATAATTAGAAATCAATAATAATTTTATATTATCTCTCAATTACCTGACATCGGCCAGGGCTAAGATGTTCTTCAATTGAAATAGATTTCAGACTTTCAGAACAAGGCACAAGTTTTGAACAATCCAGTTTGTTTTCAATACATCTTGACTCATAGTCCCATTGATACACTATGCAACCTGAAAAAAAAATTGTAAAATAATAAAAGAAAAAGAGAAAACTCTGACACTAAAATAAATATTTAAGGGTGATATTTCTCTTCTAATATATATTTATATTTATTACCAGGATGCACATACGACCACACTCTATGTCCAGCAGCCTGAAGTAGTGTGACAGAAGTTTGATTGGAGCAATCTTTAGATAATTTATTTTGAATTTGTTTAACTCTAGCTACATGGACACCGGTGTCTGGAGAACTGTCGTTTCCACTCTCGTTGTCATAGTCCTCTTTGTGATAGAACTATATATACAAATGAAAAGGATTAGTGTCTCAATCGGTTGGAAATTAATTAATACATTTTTCTCTTATTCACTGGATTCACAAATCTGCAACAATAATGTACCTGTCTATGATCAGAATGAAATCGCATGTGTTGTTCATTAAAATGATCTACAGAATCATGTCCACATACAGAATGGCCCTTCATTGTAAAAATAGATATATGCCCGCCTTCTAGACCACACCATAACTCAAAACAGGATCTGCAGAAAGATTTAATATAAAATCTTTAAATTTAAATCAAAGACAATTGATAAATTCCAGAAGATATTGATTGAAAGATGAACCGATGTGCTAAGTTAATAAAATTACAACTTCTTACTCGTTTTCTCCAACACAAGCAAGGCTGCGCACAGGTGCTCCAGGACCCAATTCGGTGAGAACAAAGGATCCTTCGCAGTGTGAAGGTCCTGCAGGTGGATCTATTCCATCGACCAAGAAGAGACGACCACCAGCCAGGGCACAAGCAACCAAACCTGATGAATCTGGTTTATCATTCTGAAACAGCAAAAGAATAATTAATAATAAGTAAATTAAATAAATAATGATTGAATTTAATATTAATTTAAGGTAGTCCAATTTAATATGAGTTATTCAAATATCTTGTCTATTAGTAACATCTATTGAAATCAATTAAATATGTTCTGATCTCAATTAATTGTAAAGGTTTGCTTCAATAACTATTAATGTTAATTTTATCTTAATATTTACTGAACCAATTTTAAAAACAACTAGCTGACGACTAACTTAAATGTGTTTAATAATAAATTTGATCTTTCAACAAGCGTATATTGATAGTTACTCACCGATGATAAATCCTGGTCCCTATTCATTTGGTAAGCAGGTAGCGGTAAAAGACAACTTACAGCAGACGGTGGTAAAGCAGCAGTGTTTTCAGAATCTTCTGAACCCTCTTCAGGAGCTGAGTCTAATTCATATGTGAACAATGGTTTGCAATCTGTTGCACTAGAAAGATAAATTAAATTAAAATACTGCATAAAAATACATATTGAATCAAAAAGGCATATTTATCAAAATCAGCATACCACAAAATCAACTATTATTTCAATATTATATATCTTAAAAATTAATAAGCTGTCTTTTTCTAATTTTAATCATTATTGACTATTTCCATGTGTCAATTATTACTTACTCATATGCATGCAATCTTCCTGCAGCATCTCCCAACCAAAAAGCTTGAGACGGTTCCACATAACACGCAGCAGTTGAAACAACTTTTTTTGGTGCCCCAGAAGAAGTGCTACTAGTTTTCGATGCTGAGGCATAAAGACGATGAGCTGTTGGACTCCAAGAAGCACTAGACTCGTAACAATGTAATACATCAACACGACGGTCACTGCGGGCGATGAAGAGATCCCAAGATCCTTCGGGATCATCTGAAAAAATAATTGATGTATTGCTAATTTTTACTGAAATTATGTTTGTTTTGTCCTTTACCATAATCTCTTCTAGCAGATACAGCTGTAACTCCACCAACAGAGCCAGAAACTGTCGCAGCAGCTTTGGATACACTAACAATATCAGCCAGTCTGGCAAATTCAGGAGCACTAGCACAACTCACCATTTGACTAGCAGTTGGTCGGTCACCAGGTCGTGCTGACCAACAGAGTGACATCAAATCCAAACAATAGGATGGACATTGTGCTTCCTATTATATAAAAAAACAATAAACAATATGATAAGATTTATTATTCATGAGCAGTTTTTTCTTACCCTGCTGGTTAACGGTGGTCGTCCACCATCCAGAACAGCCTCTTTGACGGCTTCGCAGCCTTCAAAAGGCTGTCTTAAAGCTATCAGTTCATACAAAAGCATTCCGTATGAGAAACAGTCAACTTTTTCAGTATACTCAAGTTCACCATTGTGTCTTGCCATTTCAGGAGCCATAAAGCCTTCTGTTCCACCAAAGCCTTTGGCACCTGAGCTTGGAAGAGCTAATCTCGAGATACCTGCAAAAAAATAAAATTATAAAAAATATTAAGATTTTATATTCTTTTGGCATTTTCTGTATTGCACTAACCATAGTCAGCAAGTTTGATGTGAACATCATCCTCTGTGTCTGCATCCATTCCTGGTGGTGGTAAGCGCCACACGAGCACATTTTCAGCCTGGAAAAATACGATGCCAAAATATAAGTGTGATATGCACAAAGATAAGTATATAATAAGAATTACTCAATTCACAAAATTCCAGTGTAGAATGTTACCATTTTCATTAAAATCATTCACAGAAGATGCAAAGAAGAGCGCAAGCAGGTGATATTTAATTCAAATCTAAATATTCTGTTTACCAATAATCTCTTATATCTCACCTTCAGATCCCTGTATATAACCCTTCGCCCGTGCAAGTACTCCAGAGCCCTAGCAGCTTGCAGAGCACAAGCCCGCAGAGCCCTAGGACGTAATCGAGCCCCACTACGACGCAAGTGCCTTAAAGCAGCATCCAGGGCACCTCCTGGTGCCAGCTCCAAGACAAGAGCTAAAGGTCGAGCACATACACCAACCAGTGGCACAATATTTGAATGACTAAGGAAAAAATAGATGAATACAGATTCAACAAAATATATTTAATGTATTTTTACCTTAAATTAAGTAGGATATTAAGTTCCTGTCGTGCAGTGCAATATGCTTTACATGCGTATTGCAAAGGATCACGTTCCCATTTTCCTTGAGCAGCCTAAAAAGTTCAAATAACTCAATAATTATTAGTTGCAAAAGATGTGATGATTATTATGTCTTTTATATATAACCTTATAAGCAATTATAGCGCTTTGACGAGCCCTAGGTCCAGGTTGCACCGGTTGCAGCATTTTCATGGCGACATCACGAGGCGCCACTGTTGCCGATCTGGTGTCACCACGTCGATTCCCATCGCCACTTGCAGCTGATGAAAGATCTCGAGCATATTGAGCTCGAAATACGAAACCAAAGGCTCCACGACCCAAAAGAGGACCGCGAATTATTTCTTTGGATCGTATTATTAGGCGTGGACTTAAATCCATAAAAACCTAAAAAATAAAAAAAAATAAGTGCTCCTCTTTATAATTTATCATTTATCTTTTCTTACGGTATCAGGTGCGATCTGCTTCAACTCCTGATCCCCATGCGAAGGACACTGCACCCTTTTCGTATCACTTGCTGCTAAAATACATTCCTCTACAGTCCAACAATAGCTCAAAGGCAAGGGCGGTGATTCAGGACCTGATGGAGCAGCGTTTTGTGGAGCCCCTTCTATGGAGCAGTTACGACTTGAACCACCTGATTGGCCTACACCGCTGTCACCATCAGACCAGGCCAGGAGGGAATCTTGGGAAGCCCGAGGACGTTGAGGCGGTGCAGCAACTGGCTGAGGAGCCGGAGGTCGTGGGGGTTCTACAAAAGCCTAAAAGAAAAAAAATTATGGAATTTATATTTGGGAACAAAACTTTCAAAATAACTAATTACCAAAAATGATTTTTTCTTTACCTTAGAGAGACGATCATGAAGTGAAGAGCTTGCACCAGGTTCAGGAGAATCTGGTCCTTGATCATTCTGATCAGCTGGTACACACAACAAACACTTTGGACAAGGTACGATTCGAGTAACTAAAAATTTGCCTTCAGAAGTATGCACAAATCTTGTACCTAATAAAAGAAACAAAAAATTACCCATAAATATTAAATTTACAAAATTAACTCAACTACTATCTATATAAAAAAATCTGAAGAATAATCACATAGTATAAAATTTTATCTTTATGATAAAAATTCTTATTTAAAACAAAAAACTATTGGATTCTTTTAAATATTTTTATCTTTACCTAATGTAGGATACCAGTCCTCCAACAGTATATCAATATGATCAACTGCCAACGCCAATAATTGTGCTGTAGCCCTAGAACAAGGTGTTAAAACTATTTCTCCTCTATCTACTGCACTTGTTTGATATCGCATTCGACGATCAGTTCCTGGTTCGTGTTCATCATCCATCATAGGTGAAGTCACATGACGTCTGACCACCAGGTCGTGTGCAGGAAAGTGAACTTCCAGGACGGATGAGGAGCGTGCATCCAAATCGCACCAGACACCTTCTGTTTCACACGAAATCTAAGAAAAAAATAACATTGAACAAATATAACATGGCACCTTCTTTAAATTATTTTTACCTAAGATGTTTATACGGCTTCGGCGTGGTTTCAGTTACTTCTCTCATTGTGAATATTGTCACATCTCCATATCTAAGTCTCAAGCCAGTTTGCCACAAAGACCATTCAGCTTTGACATCCAATGCCTTTGCAAGCGCAGCATCTTGAGAAACCTAATGATTATATTCAATTATTACCTATTGATAAAGATTGATCATATTTTTATTTACATCAGAAGGCAGAACAAAAAATCCCCGAACGGCGTCCAAAACAGCATCATCAGCTAAAACTCTGGTCATCAATCTGGACCAAAATCCAGATGGTGAATAAGACATTAGAAGCAAACGGGATATGGCGCGTTCTGGACGAGCACGTTTTGTTACTTCTAACATATCACGAGGAGTATCTGTAATAGTAAAATATTTGTCATCTTTTGATCAATAGTTGGATCATCATTAAATATTTACCAGAAAATGATGGAGAATTCAAGATAAAAGGCATGTCGCCTGATGCAAGCTTTTTATTTCTGACAGCCCAACCTTTTGAACGCAAAGCGATCTACAAATATTGAAATATATAATAATAAAATATTACAACTGTATTTAAGTAAATATTATATTACCTTAACGGTAACTTCTTCACCAGGTCCCCTATCTTCTTCTGCAGCAGGAAGCAAAGATGGTATAAGCAAAGTCCTGCTATCCCAAGTTAATGCAACTTCAAATTTGTTCAACAAGCTAACAACATAGCCTCCAACACCGTTCATGGAAGCAGAAGCACCGCCTTCGTTGGACGCACCTCCGCTACCACACAATTGTTGGGCATTACGAAACAGAAGGGCCAAGTCTTCCAAACGCATAATGCCTGGTAAAAATAGAAACTGGTTTAACTGAACAACAAATTTAAAATTTAACTGAAATTTTGTTAAATAAGGGCAAGAATTTTATCTGGCTTACCAGTTCGTGCAAATGGATTTATTTCTCTGATGGTTACCACATGTGCGAGTACATCACAAAGCCATTGAGGGTCTAGAAAATATAGATCTTTCAAAGTGGCATCATCGTAGTGAAGTAGAACACCTGAAAACAAAAATTTAACACTTGATGATTTAAATATAATATGTATTTTGACATCCATAGAAATTTTGATAAAAAAAGCTTTGATAAGACTAATAAATTCTAAGTTCTACTCTACCGTTATCGTGGAGAAACATGGTAGCCTGCGCCAGTTCTGCTGCGTCTCTAAACGGTTTGTGGCCCCTGCTTTGCATTTCTCTGGCTACCAAGGTTCTATAACGTTCTGCACCTCGTACAACAGGTTCGCCACCAGCTCGCAGCCTGGACGCTAGTGCAGATACACATTCTTCTAATGCAAGATAACATGCTGGTACACGTTGCTGTAACCATGGTTCCTTGCTACCTGTAAACGGATAAATAAATATTGTAAAATATAAAAAAAAAACTTTGTGGAGTTACTCATCAATTGGAATGTGCAGCTAACACTTTTTTAAAGATCATCTGACTTTCACCTTTAAAACTGTGCCCAAAAATTCATTTTCTTATAATTCAAATCAATTACCTGGAAGTCTCAGAGAGAATGCTGTCTCATAAAGCATATCACGCAATTGACGTAAATTTCGTCCAGTTCGACAGCTGACCTGCACGCTGTCCAGAACACGAGGTAAACCGAGCTTTTCTGCATCACCTGCTGCAGCTACAAAACGTTCTCGAGCCAGTTCTTGCAGTTCTTCTGCGAGAGCAACAGGAAACGACTAGAGAAGAAAAAAATAGTATGCAATAGTTGTACTAATTTAAATATTGTAATCTTTTCCCTTACCTCTCCGACTGCATCATAATGTGTCCCAACCAATATAACAGGCGAACCAGGTGCCCTTGCTTGAATATTCACCAGGCCACTGATGTAGCTCGTCCAAACCACGTCTGCCATCCGTTATTCGCCAAACAGCTAAATACAAACTTCTCCTCGACAAGAAATACTGATGAGTAGCATAGTACTCTTTCTGGCCACCGAAATCCCAAGTCCGAAAAACCACAGGTCCATAATTTGGCATCTGGTGACCACGTCCTTTGCGATCAAGGGTCCAATCACCAATGTCCACACCAACTGTGGACATATTGGTACCTCTGTGCGTTTTTTGGTTGATGTTTTTGTGACCCATGCGTTTGGCCCAATGCTGAGATAAATGATAAGTAAATATATAGAAACTAGTGGTGTATGGCATCGTGCCTTAAGGCAAATTGCTGGAACTTCCCGTACCGTAATGAAATATTCGAGAAATTTTAAACATTTTCAAATACATTATTACAAATACTGTAACTTTCATTATTTTTGCTATCTTGTTATATCTGAGCAAATCAAATGTAAAGCATTTCATTTCGAACGCACAAAATTGAAAAAGTGCTCCCGTATAGTCACAGTCTAAACGCATTTGCAAATGATTCTGTGCGACATTTACACTTATACTGTGCTTAACTTGGCGGCATTTTTACATTTTTCAATAGTTTTCACAAAATTGGAAAAGTGCTGCAGTACATAAACAGTCTAAACGCACTTGGGCAAACATTTGTACCAGAGTGGCGCTTAGACTGTGCTTAGCCTGGGTAATTTTTTGAATTTGCAATCCAAAATTACAAAAATATTTTATGGAAAATAAAAAAGATGTTAGATATTTTTTTATCCTCAAAAGCAATTGTTTTGTCAATACAAGCAGAAAGTTTTTGAGATCATTCAAATCGGACGCTTAGTTCACTCAAAAACTGCCATTTTTTGTACATTTAGCTATGTATCTTCGAAATGGCGGGACCTGTCTTTGCCAAAAACTAATCACCTCTTCTCCCAATCATTACAAACTGAATGTTTTTTACATCATTCAAATCCGATACTCCGTTCTCTCAAAAACTCGATTTGTATTTTCTGCACTCTTTGCTCCGTATCTTCGTAACAGCTAGACCTGCCTTTGCCAAAAACTAATCAGCACATCTCCCTATCAATAGGGATCGAATGCTTTTCAAACCATTCAAATCGGTTGATCCGTGCGCCAGAAAACGTGGACGAAAAAATGCGGACAAACAAAACACACACACATCCATTTAGTTTCCGAGGTATGCCAAAATGTCGAGAAATGCAAAAATTTTCATTTTCGATTTACGGCCTGTTTCTATAACTACCATACGGGAAGTTAATAAAACCAACTGTTACCACTCAAAATTTATTTCATACTCACATCTGTAGTTTTCTTTCGATTATTGGAACCATCCTGTCTTAACTGTTCTAACAAACTAGTTTTACCAATTCCTTGTATACCGACTACCATTAATTTCATTCTGGCGTATGGTCTAGCATCTTCGAGTATTGACTTCAAATATCCTAAGCAAGAATTAGTAAATAATAAAATAATGAACAAATATAAATTTATAACAAAATAATACCTATTATATCCATTGTCTTATACTTCTTAGATTCGATCATAGATTTCAGTGGTTCTTGCAAAGAGCAACCTCTGGTATTAAGATTCCATAAACGAGACAATAAGCCCATATGTGGAGGCAACTCAGTAATATCTTAAATAAATTACAATTATATTAATTATGACTACAGGTTATTTAAAAATTATTAACTAATAAGTGATATACTTACCAGTGTTACCACTGACATTGAGTACTGAAAGATTGGACAACTCATGTATGGCTGTTGGAATTTCTTTTAAACAATTATTACTGATGTCCAACATTGATAGATTTGGGAAACACCAAGCGACCTTTTGTTGCACACACCATACTCTATAAAAAAACACATTTGTAGTAGCTGAACACGATCTATAAACATCTATTTTATTAAGTATCATCATCTACTAATTTACCCATTCCCCATCATCCTCCTCACAGCAAGCCAATCCCCAGCAGAACTGCCTCCGCCTCCAGCACCTCCAGCATTACCACTTCCTGCAGCCGCTTCCAAATCGTCGTCTGTCGTCAGTTGTATCCTTCGCAAACGATTATCAGCAAGCACCAGAGTGCGCAATGCGTCCAGGCGCAAATGACGACGATGGCAGCAGACTGCCTGCAGGACACCACTGCGAAGAGATCTTGCTGAGTGTCCGGAGGCTGGTGGGTTGATAGAGGTGGAGTTGGAGGTTGTTGAAGATCCTGATGTACGGGTAGTAGAAATTCCTGACAAAAATGGTAATTGTTAACTAACTAACCAGATTTTTTCGCAAAAACATAAATTTCTCCTTCGGAAAGTTAATAAATACCTTGTATGCTCAGTTTAGATTTTATATTGGAACTTTCTTGAGGTTGATAACATGTCAAATGAGCCAACTCCATCAAGTCACATGCCTCGATTTGTGGTAGACTAGGCCAGCATGTTATCTACAATAAAAAACAATATATTTAAAACATCTTCACTTTTGCATTATTTACAATTATTAACTTCCCGTAGGGTAAGTTATAGTAATCGCAAAAAAATCGAAAATGAAAATTTTTATACATCTTTACATTTCAGAGGTTTCTGAATATTTTGGCATACCTTAGAAAAAAATGGATGTATGTGTGTGTGTGTGTGTGTGTGTGTATATGTGTATGTGTGTGTGTGTGTGTGCGTGTATGTATGTGTGTGCGGATACAAATTTTCGTCGACGATTTCGGGAACGCGGATGAAGCGATTTGAATAATTCAAAAAACATTCGATTCGTATTGATAAGGAGACGTGCTGTTTAGTTTTTGGCGAAGGCAGATCTAGCCGGTCCGAAGATATGGGGCAAAAAGTGCCAAAAACGGTACCTCAGTTTTTAAGAGAACGGTTTTAATAATTCAAAAAACATTTTACTTGTATTGACAAGATGAAGAATTGGTCAAATTTTCATGAAGGTAGGTCTAGCGGTTTCGGAGATCTAACGAAAAAAGTAAAAAAAATGCCATTTGGCGGTCAAAAATGATCATTAGACATATGCACATCAAATTATCAGATATTTTATAGAGATTTTAACAATAAGTATAAATTTTGTTTACATTCCTATGGGTTCCGTACCAATGGTTATCCGTTAGACAGCGACGCGGCGCTTATGCGCTTTATATTTTGTCTCTATGCAGTTAAAGCAGCACGATTGCTTTGAAAAAAAGTTCAGATCTTCCAAAATATATCAAAATAAAGAAAACATTTAAAAAAAAAAAAATAAATAAAAAATAAAAACAATTTTTTTTTTCAAAAAAAAGTAATTTTTTTCCAATTTATAGTTTCTTAAAAATCTTATTTTTTCGAAGTAAAATTTTTTAAAAATGTTATTCGTTAATAAATTTTTGGTACGGGAAGTTCCAGCAATTTGCTTAAGGCACGATACCTTAATTGCCTTAAGACAGAATTCCACTTACAGCTAGTTATACATTACAATTTACCTGGTTATGGCTAAGATCAAGTTGTTTTAGACTAGCAGGGTAACTCGTAATGTGAGACATTGATCTTAAACTATTGTAAGATAAATTTAGTCTTGTGAGATTTACAGCTAGACATGGCAAAGCAACTGGCAAGCCTATAAATAAAAATAATTATAATAAATTATGTATTAAATACAAACAATATTCAAGACTTAGTGCTTACTTGAGAATAAATTATGTGCTAAATTCAACGAAGATAGTTGTGAACTATTTTCAGTAACATTATCTTCACAATGTAATACTTGTTCGGTTATCTCTAAACTATTCGACCATATGTGGTGTTTCTGCAGTTCTATTTCACTGTAATACAAATAAAACCAATGAATAAATACAAGTCTTAAAGAACATATTTTGATGTTTTTACCTCACAGCCCAATGTTTTTGTTTAAAACTATTATCAGCAGACTCGGTATTGCTACATTCACTAAGAGATAGACGAGAATCACTGGAACTTACACTAACTCCATCGTTATCACTATCTATAGCCTAAAGAATAAAAGAAATAAAAATAATTGAATCAATATTGAAGTAAATATTAATACAAAATATTATGTACTACACAACAATATTATATCATCAAAAGTGAGAAGAGAGTAAAAATTTGGCGTTGTACAAAAAATAAAGTAAAAACAAATTGGTCCAACCACATATACAGACCTCGTCTTGAAATGGAAGTTCTCTTAACAAATTAAAAGCCACACTCAATTCCCTTAATTGTGGAGCCCTCCACATTGCAAAAGGCAAGCTCCGTAATTTATTATTTGATGCATCAACTGTTATGAGACCAGGAAGTCTAAACAAAGCCTCTGGCAACTCATCTAGACGATTATCCTAAAAAAATAAGTATAAATAAATTTATGTTGCGACTATGACTTTGTTAAGTCATAACATTAACCTGTAGATAAATTTCTTCGAGCACTTGGCAACCATAATCGTGCTTGGTCGGATCTTTTTTGCCATAACGTTTTTTAGATTTGTTTTCACTGGGTAATGGCAAACGCTCTATTTTATTTTGAGCTACATTTAGATATCTAAAAAATGATGAATATAAGTAATAAGTATTGAACAAAATATTCAACGTTCATGATATTGTAATGTTTGAAAAATATAATTACTTAAGGCTGGTTAGCTGGAAAACAACTTCTGGAAGGCTAACCAAACTATTGCAGGATAAATCAATTCGTGTCAAAGCAGCCAATGCGAGTTCTGCTCCTTTGGGATGTCCCTTTAATTTTGGGTTGCAGTGCAGGGCTGCTGCACTTAGCCATTGTGGTCTTGTAATAAAAATGATTTTATTAAAATTTTATTATATGATTTAAAATTTAAACAACAGAAAAATTATCTGTTGGGATCAATTTGCAAAGATTGTTATTATACACAATATTTTGTATTGCTTTGGGTGAAAATTAACAAAAAATCTAAATGAAATATTTTGATTCTCTTACTATCTTATATATAAAAATGAATCGCAAAATGTGTTGGTAAGTGCATAACTCAACAACGCCTGGACCAATTTGGCCAATTATTTTTTTAAAATGTTCTTTGAAGTCCAACGATGGTTCTTACGGCGAGAAAAAATCGAATAATTGCCGGGAAAACCCTAAAAACAGCCCTTTTCTTTTTCTCATACAAACGTTTTCTAACTAAAACGTGGAATCGATTTGAGCTTTATTGCTATTATATAAAGTTCATATTAAATTACAAGCACTCACTGTATACTCCTTTTATACGATTATTCGGATTTTAATACATTTTTCTGAAGTCTGTTAAGGAAATTTTCTAGAATGTATGTGATTATAAAGCCCTGGGATGTATGTGCAATATTGTAGAAATAAATGAACAAAAAAATGCAAATAACGACATGTCATTGTTGGCATTGAAAACAAATAAAAACTATTATCTGCCAAAAATTTCAATTTACTTATGAGCCTAGACAGTATTAGAATATGTATAATAAATTTATGATTATAAATAAGAAAAATGAGATGTCTACATTATTATTGCCAAAAAGCAGCTGAGATGTGCCAGAAATTAAAATAATATAAAATACAGTATATGTATGGCAGATACACATATGAACAGGATGTGACAAATTAATTTACTTAAAATATGAAATTAAGTATTAATCAGGGCCGGACCTACCTTTGATGCGATGCATGCAAAAAATACGAGTGCACGTCTTAGGGGGCGCCAACACAAGATTTGGATATTAAATTTTCAATATATCATATATAATATAAAATTAAACTAATTTAATCAAACATTAAAAAACAATAATTATTATTTTTAGATAAACGGTAAATATCAGTATATTATATTAAAAAATTGTTGACATGGGCACAGGACAACGTCTGTCGGGTCATCTAGTTAAAAATAAATTTACTATTTATTGATTTAATTCATTCCTGGGCATTGATGGTATTGTGGCGGCACCCTTAGACATATTTTATTGAACAACTCCCATGCTCGAACTAGTTTCGGTCATCTAATTTTATCATAAAAATTTTCAATATCAATTGATTTTTTGCATTACTTTCAGATTTTTCAGAATTCACATATGTATATTATAATTTCTCTAATAATAAAAAATTCCAAAATGTGGCTCGTTATATATTTTCAATAATGATGTCTCTTAAAAAAATTCTAGTAATTTGCTTTACTAGTATATGATGTATTTAAAAAATTGATTTTATTATATATTAAATTATTACCTGATATTACTCAAGTGGCATCGTTGATTATGCCAATTTAGCATAGTTGGAGTACTCGGAAAAAGAGCACTGTAAGTAACAGCATCCTCATTTGCCTTGGTCTGACGCACTGGTGACATCGTGACATTATCACCAGTCCTTGCTGCAACCACAGATCCTGCTGCATCTAAAGCTCGTTTATTTATCTTGTATTCTGGATCAGGATAAGACTAGAAAAACAATAAATAAATTTGAGAATTTATCTATTATCTACTCTAGAAAATCTGTTTTGGCTTTAGTTTTACCTTGGTCGCCAACAATCGAGCCACAATCAGTTCATCCTGGTTCGCGGCGGCGCAAGCAACTGCATCCCCTGCGTCGTCCCTTGCTCCATGGCGCAAAAGTAACTCGACCAGCGGCAAACTGCGCTGTCTGGCCGCCTCCACCAAAGGTGATGATAAACCTGTAGAATTGCCCGGAAGACCGGAAACACCAGAAGCAGCCGTTATAAGCGCAGACGTTGGCGATAACGGTGATGTTATCGGAGTTACGGCGGTGGTCGGCGTCGATTGAGGAGTTTGTGGAGCAGTAGAGTTACGGATTGATGATTCATGATCAGACTAGAGGAATTCAAAAACAAATTAAACACTAAATCAGGCATATAAAATCTTCAATTATTACGTTAATTGTTCCCAAATCGTTGCCGTCAGTGACGCCTCCTCCCAAATTGGGATCTGCTCCAGCACGCAATAGAGCTCGTGCAACTTCCAAGTGTCCTCCACGTACAGCTGCTCCTAAGGCTGTTTCTCCTGCTCCATTTCGAGCACCAGCACCTGATGAATCGACTGCTGCGGTGCCGCAGAGGATATCTGGACGAAGGGGAGTCAGCATGCGTTCGTGCGGAGAATCCTTAGAAAATGATAATAAGTTAAGTAAATATTAACTTCTCGTTGGGTAAAAGTTATAGTAATCGCGAAAACAATCGAAAATAAAAAAAATTCTATATATGTACGTTTCATGAAAAAATGAATGTATGTATGTTTATACAATTTTTTTTAAAAATTTAAGAGAACGGAGCGTCCGATTTGAGTGATTCAGATAACATTTTGTTAATGGAGTGAAGAATTGATAAAATTTTTGGGAAGGCAGGTTCAGATACCCAGAAAAAAAATTAAAAACGCCATCGAACGCACATGTAAATTAAATTAACAGTACTTTATGTACGCGTGAATATAATTTGCAATTACTGTTTTGCTAAAAATAAAAATATTTGGCCCATGGGGGGATCGAACCCACGACCTTCGCGTTATTAGCACGACGCTCTAACCAACTGAGCTAATGGGCCGATGGAAAAGCACTTCGAAATTGTACACCGAGTGCGTACCGTGATTGTAAACATTTCTAAAAATAAATATCTTAAAATTATATATATTCATGTATTGGCGATAAGAGATTACGTACATTTTCATTGAATATTGCTACATTTAGATTACTTTTTTTACTTGGGATCTATTTTTGAGATGCTTTTATATTGAGAAATTGCTAAATTTTTAAAGATTATCTGATCTTAAGATAGATTAGCCGATATTAGGCATAACAAATATCATATAAATGCAAATATGTTCCAAAGCAACATTAAACTGTTGTTTTTAAGTCTCCTTAGAAATTTTTGCCAAAAAGCTGAAAAAACAAGATTTTGTTTTTGTTTTTTTCGACATTTCAGGTCGTTTTGTTACAACATTTGAAAAAAACTGCAATACCTATGCGCTAGTCTTTCTTTTACGAATACTCGGTTCATAATTTCAAATCGAATTTCCATCGGCCCATTAGCTCAGTTGGTTAGAGCGTCGTGCTAATAACGCGAAGGTCGCGGGTTCGATCCCCCCATGGGCCAAATATTTTATTTTTTACGAAATAATTACAAAAATGAAATTACATTCACGACTTATAATATTACGCCCACCACTGGGCGGCCTGATATGCTTTTTCTATTTATCTTAATCAAAAAAATTACTAAATGTCATATTTATAGAGAGTTGTAAATACTAAATGAAATAAAAAAAACATTTACGACTCTATACAGATACGTTAGGCAAAATTATAATAATATTTTATTTATTATGTAACAAATAATAAACACAATATAATCATGGAGCACATTTTGTAAATTTATTGTATTTTTTTTTTTGTTTCATTTACAAAACTTATGTTATTTAATTTATTTTGTCACAATGACAAATATAATGTTACGTGAAAAATAAACACAAGTACTTTATATAAAAATATCGTTATATATAATAACAATAATAAAAGCAAAGTAAACAAAATGAAAAACTAAATATTTTTATTTCAAACAATATGAACAAGTGAAATTATAAAATTACATGCACTTATGTTCGCATGTATTATTTGATTAAGGCACTTAGTTTAACATTTGCCGAATTTATAAAAATATTTTTTTGTTCAGGCAAAACATTTAATGACTGTATATGTGTAATAACTGTAATGTAATTTAATTTAATGACTGCATTTAATGAAAAATTACTAATTTCATTCTTATTGAACTGTTATGAATTTGCAGCATAAAATTCATTTATCCCTTGATATGAACTTATCGATTAATAATTACTCTGTAATTATTTAGTTAATTAATTTCTGAAGGCGAAGTTTATGTTTTACGATTTGTTAGTTTTATGTTTTCTCACAGTTTCGAGTCATTTTGAATCGTTCGAGACCGAAATTGGAAAAAGCCAGAAAGTGCCTAAAGGTCAAATGCCACTTACACCTAGTAGTTTAATATGCATACCTTGTTGTTCACAGCGATAAAATGAAAAAAAATTAAAACGGCTTCAACGGCCCATTAGCTCAGTTGGTTAGAGCGTCGTGCTAATAACGCGAAGGTCGCGGGTTCGATCCCCCCATGGGCCAAATATTTTTTTATATCATAATATACTAAAAATTAAAAAAAAAGTTTATCTGGCCGTATCTAAAACTCGAATCGAAATTTTGCGATTTGTTGAAAAATCATTTTGGGATTGCAGATTGTCATAGACAGATTTTCCAACAATGAAAATTCCTAACATTTGTTGAAATTTTTCCAACAAATAAAAAATAAAGAAAATTCGAACTATACTCGTTTCCTAATCTGTGAATGTATATATTTACTTATGTAAAATAAAAATATTTATGTGAAAATAAAAAAAAATAAATCTAATAAACGCCATGGACCATTTTCTCTAAGTAATTAAATAAATAAATAAATTACAAAATTTCAATAACTTCTTGTATTACTCTTTCAATTATCATTACCTTCGAATAATTTTAGACTAACTGAAACCTCAGTAGAGGTAAGAAAAAGTTCTAAATGAATAATAGACAAAATATCTATTTACAGCATTTAAGAATTCATACTAAACTTTAGTATTTTTATTTTAGTTTAAACTTTAATGTTAAAAATAATCATATCTGTTCAAGTTCCTACTTTTTCAATCAACATTGATGTAATTATTTCTGTAAATAAATACTAATTATAAAACTCACCTGTTGCTGTGATGAACCCAAACTCAATTTACTCATGATGTTCTGAATTCCTTCAGAGATTCTTCTTTTAATAGGACTACTTGGTGATGGTGTAGGTGTAGCCGAGGACGGAGTGCTGTCTTCATTTTTCTAAAAAAAATCATAAAAATAAATCATTTATTTATAAATAAAAATAAGCATCTTTTTTATACCTCATGTGTTCTGGTAGCAGGCACTCTCCAGCCTAATAAGAGATCAACAAGTTTTTTATTTCCTAAAAGACTTGCCATGTATAGTGGAGTTTGCTTGGTAACATCCTGGGCATTCGGATCAAAAGCCAATCGCCATTGCCATCTATTTGCCTGATCCCTAAAAAATAATCAGGAGAATCCGCTTATCTGATCCATTTTACCACACATACGGGGTAAAGTGGGACAACCACGGGGTAAACAGATGCAATTTCTTCTATTCAATTTTAAAGGGATATTGCGCTACATTATTGAACCAATGCAAAATATTAATTCTGTGGGTACATTTGTTACAAAGATAACACAGTATATTACATTGATCTGCTATTGATCAGAAATATTCATCAGATGAGCCGGAATAATAATATATTTAATTAATCTCTTGTAAAATTGCTTTTTTTTAAACTTTACTATTTTATTGCTTACACGTTTGCCAAAGTTAAGGTTCAGCTGGTCCTTTTTATCCTACTCATATGCTGCTTATCTTCTGATAGCAAAGTCATAAGAATAAAGGAGATGGCTGATTATGAATTTATACATTTTTTGCCCTCTACTATCAAATATTTTTGTTAAAAAAAATCTAATTTTATTTGTTTACGAGATATCCGTGGCGGACCATTAATAATTGGTCTACCCTACCCATAAAAAACATACAAATGTGATTTTTAATGTAAGTAATCAGTAATTTTCGATTGATTTCTTTACATAATTTTATTGTAAAAACAGTCCCTAATGCTATTGTGCACAAAAGACTTAGCAATTGCTTTCGTAGACTTGGCCACATCTTGTAAAATCATGTCAGTCATTATAATTGGACATAATTTTTTGCAAAAATGTGCCATTATAAACGACATGTCAATGTAAGCGATGTCAATATATCCGACTAGACACCTGTTTTTTAAGGAATTTTATACGGAAACCAAACATCCTAGTGCGATTACGTCATAATAAGCGGTTGTCAATATATCCGGCGTCATACTAATCGGATTCTACTGTATATGAAATTACATATATGTTTATGATACATCTATTACCACTTACGTATATGTTGTTAAAAGGTGCTCCGGATAATGAAAACTTAACAGCAGCCGAACTACTTCAACATGTCCATTGATGCATGCAGCATGCAACGGAAGCCACTTTTCCATCGTAGCTTGCTAAAAATAAATTTATTGGTCAGTAAAGTTTGAAAAAAAAAATACTATCGTGTATCAAGGTATTATTACCTGGACTAATTCAGGATATTTTTCCAACAACAGTTTAGCAGTGTTGACATGTCCATGATGGCAAGCAGTGTACAATGGTGTATATCCAGTTACGGGATGTGCCCGTGGTTCTGCTCCCTGCTGCAGCAGCATTGTCGCCATTTCAGTGCGACCTAATTGGCAAGCACTAGACAAAAAAAAATTATTATTAATAAATGATTTTGTAAATTTGAAGTTATGTTTATACCTAAATAGAAGTGTATTGGTTCCTCCCGGAGCGCAATTAACGACAGCCTTCGCCTCCGGCCCAAGCTGCTGCAGCAGTTCTCGTGCAGCCCGCATGTCGCCGCGGGATACGGCGCAGCGCAGTGCCTGCTGCGCTCTTTCTCGCTCATCTAGAAAAAAGAAATAAATAAAAATATTATATAATGAAAAATTTCATGATAGTAAAAGATAAAAAGAATTTTAGTTTTATGATATATAAATATTTTTCCTTATAATCAGTTTAAAATGTTTATAAACTTAATTCAAAGGAGAATTCCAAGCCTAGCAAAAATATATAATAATTTTCATAATTACACTTTTTGTCAATTTAGATTCTACGAAAGCATAAGCATTTAATGTTTTAATTGGCAAAGTTTCTGTAATCGATAAAAACAAAATTGATACCCCAAGTATGAAATTGAATTATTAAAATCTGCAATCTTGGCAAGGAACCAAAATTTGTACTTATTATTAAAATCTTTATAAAAAATCTGATAACTTGAAATAATTATTATTCAAGTGATGATAATTTCTAATGATAATTTTTGACTCCCAAACGTGCATATAATTTTGTTTATTTATTTTATTATTATCATAATTATCATTATTTTATATTAAATCATCGTTATTTTATATTAAATCATCATAATACAAATATCATTTTAATGAAAATACTTTCCTTTATTTTGTACTCTATTTTATTTATATTTATGTTATTATTCACTTATGTTACTAGATGTTATATTATTTAGCAGTTGTTACAGATATTGTAATTAAAAAAAATGTGCATATGTCTAATGATCTTTTCTTTTCAATTTTTTATTGAATCTTCAAAACCGTTGAAACTGCCTTTCTAAATATGTTATCAATTTTTCATTGCATTAATACAAATAAAATGTTTTTTTTTAACCATTCAAGTTGGATACTAAGTTCTCTCAAAAACTGATTTGTCATTTTTTACACTTATTGCTGAGTATCTTTGCTACACCTGAACCTGCCTTTGCCAAAAACTAATCAACACGTTCCATAATCAACAGGAATCGAACGTTTTCGGAATCGTTCAAATAGGTTAAACCGTGCTCTCAAAATCATCGATAAAAAATTGTATCCGCACACACACATACATAATTTTTTTCTAAATTATGCCAAAATGTTCAGAAACCTTTGAAACGTAGAGATATGCAAAAAAAATATTTTCGATTTTTCTGGGATTATTATACTTTACCCTATGGGAACTTAATAATTATGTGTAAGTGGCATTTTAGCTTAAGGCTTAATATAGAATTTTATAGAATACTATATATATATATAGTTTCAGTTCTAATAATTCAAAAAATAAAATTACATTTTAAATGAGGTTACATTTAACATTGGTGTAATAAATTACATTATTAGTACAACCTGTTGACCAATAACTCCTAATACTCTTAGATTATAAATAAATAGTTGCATCCTAAGAAACAATAAAAGAAATGCATTATATTACAATTACTTATATAATTACATAACTGCACTTCATAAATTCAAATTTAAATTTCCAATTAGATTCAAACTTGCCTTCCGGTGCATCATCAAGTTCCTGCGTGAAGTATTCGCAAGCGTCGCACGCTAGTTCCGGTTTGCAACGTTTGCGTTTTAAATTTTTGGGCGGCATTTTTAAACATTCACTAAATTATTATTTATAAATATCACAAAAATACGGGAAACGGATACGGAAGCTCTGAGAAACGAATTGACATACTTCTTTGGTAAAAAATTGTATAAAAATATTAATAGAAAGGATTGTCAGATTAAGGTAATGGTAAGGGAACAGGTCCCGGGCACCCTGATATCAGAAAAAGTCAGGCAGCCAAAAAGTTAGCACTGTAGGGTTAAACATATTTATGTATAAAGTTATATGATTCTATTTATTATTATTATTATGTCATAATATTTTATTCCATTGGATGTTTCGATTCATCTGCGTAATAGATTTACCGAAGCGTAAAAAGCACAATGCACAGCCATAAAAGTGAAACTAAATACACCTAACGATTACAAATAACAACGAAAGCAATTAAGTTGTATAAAAACGTTATAAATCGTATATATATATATTTATGTAATTATATAAATTTCGCGTAATACGGTTTTTTATTTTATAGTGTTTCAACGACCTAACCTACAAAACAACGGCGGCTGTCATTTTCGAAACGAACCGAGCGCGTCCGAAGTTTCTCAACATTTTTATTTAGACTTGCGCGTGGAGGAAGATCGATAATGAATGGAATTGTAAAAAAAATATGTATAGAGATTATGTAATTAGGAAAACATTTTGTGGAATACTACACAAAATGTGCAATATGGTATATTGCAATTAACTCTTTCACTACGAAAGTGCTTTTCGCAGGAAAGACACTGCTGTATAAGCCAGTAAGCCGCCCAAGTATCTGTTACACAGAATATTTTCAGATTTTCCGATCATCATCAACGAAACTGTATTTAATTGGTTATAAGTGGTATTCCAACGTATACACCAAAAATAAAATTTTCTCTTTCATTCAATTCATTTTCCAAATGATGTCTTTCAAACATACTTATAATATCAGCATTTGTATAAATTAAATTAATTTATTTAACAAATTTCATTTAATACATTAATACTAAAGAGCAAAAAAAATACTAATCTTTAAAGATAATGAAAGGACTCTGCTGATGAGCAAATTAAAGGAGACCTATGCTGATACAAAGAGGACTTCACTGACTGATATCATATTAAATATCAAATTGGATGATAAAGAAATAGAACTGTAAATTGACGAGCAAATTTATAAGTAACCTAGAAGACGAAAATAAAGCAAGCAAATTATGGATAAGGAATATAAAAAGGAAGATCTTGACGAGCAGTTTTATAAGAATCTTAGAAGACAAAAGGAAAACTCTACTGACTCTACTCTACTGAGTACGAATTAAAAATTCATTTTATTTCAGTGAGGACAAAAAGTCAACTATAATCAGTAGCCATCTACATAACGCAGAAGGTACATATGGTCGAATGGCTTTTAATTTTTTTAAATCGGACCATCGGTTTTTTGAGAAATCGTCGACGAAAGGACAAAAACTGGCTCGCATATTTTTTTTTAATTTGGCCCCAAAAGATTCAGAATGACATGAAACGTCTAGAATAGAAAGATAGCAAATCGGATTTTCTGGCGCACGTTTTAAGAAGTTAAAAATTAAAAAGAATACTTCTACAACCTAAAAATTACAATAAAAAATATAATTCTCAATAATTGAAGACAACACTGAAGCAAACTACGTTACCTTGCATGTCGTCTATAAGCGACATTCGTACACACAGGTCGTCAAGTATAAATGTCGTCTATAAACGACGCTGATAGCCAAAAGGATAAATTTAATGTTCACAATTAAATGAAAACAAACTTTAATTTTTGAGGAAAGCAAATTGTTTTTCAATATTTCAAAACATTTTTTTTTTTCAAAATAATATTTTTTAAAAATGTCGAAAATGATTCGGATTTTACTTTTAACTGTAAAATTCTAAAGCTCACTTTTATACTTATTATAAATAATTTTAACGTTGCAATTAAATTTATATAATTCTCTGAAAAATAAGATAAGGTCCTTCGTTCCAACTGTGATATATATGAATTAAAAATTACTTAATGTTCAGAAATGCCCAGCAAAATTATTAAATAAAATGCCATATAACTAAACAAACTGTAATAATCAAAACAAAATAAAAAAATTCAGAAAAAATTTAACAACACTCTAAAAAAACTAAATACTCATTCTATCATCATACAACCAATTTTCATAAAACAATTTTGGTAACTCTACATTCAGCTTTGCCTGAATTTCAAAATTCCATCTTCAAAAATGAAATAGTTCACATATTTTCCAATTCACAAAAAAATCTATTACACCAAACTCAAATAACTACTAAGAACAATTCAAACAATTATTTCACCATATAAAATACATGAGTCATTTCTACCAATGCAAACTAATTACTCTATCATAAACACAATATATTATATAAACAAAATTCCTTAACCACATGCTTGTTTATAATTTTTTCAGATAGCTTCTGAATATAATAACATGTGAGTGTGATTAGGATAAAGATTTATTTATTTCTTAAATACCTGAAGCATTTTTCAGCAGGTTAATGCATTCAACATTGCCTTCCCTTTCTGCTATATCGAGAGCAGTCATTCCTGATATGTCTTTGTCTGTAAAATTTGCTCCAAATTCTAATAGGCATTCTACGTTTCCTGCATGACCGTGGGCTACACTCATGTGCAGGGCCGTCTGGATAAGGGAAAATGGATTTTAGAAAAAATAGGACTGGACAAAGTAACTTTGAATAAAATTGGCTTACAGATTTGGTATCTGTTTAGAGCAAACACTTTTTGATTTTTGTATTAATTAATCATAGCTGATAAAAATAACTTGGTCAATTGAATAAAATTAGCTTTTATATCTGGTAACTGATAAATAGTCAAGAATACACTTCCTAATTCTTGTATTAATTATTCATAGATATTAAATATCTCAATAATGACTTTTATCGAATTATTGCTATAGTACTAGTTTTATATTATATAATTTTCTATTATCCTTACACAATTATCAGCTCTCGGTCCACATTTGCTGTTCGGATCAGCACCTGCTTGAAGAAGAATTCTTAAGCATCTTGAGTCTTCAGTTATTGCAGCAGCATGTAAAGGTGTTCGGCCCCAACTGTCTTGACTATTTATCATGGCACTTTGGTCGCCTTTAAGTAAATCTTCCAAAAGGTCGACATTGTCCCACAGAGCAGCCTAGAAAAAAAAGTAATAAATATAATAAATAAAATGAAAATATTAATTAGCATAAAGATAATATGTATAAATGTCCAGTTATACAAACTTATCTATATTATAATTTATTTTTATAAGCTCTTATAATTAGTATTAATTGATTATTAAATAATGAGCTAATCGATGAAATTTAAAATCTTGAGTACAAATAGAGATGCAAGTTATTATTAACTTCCCGTAGGGTAAGTTATTGTAATGGGCCGAAAATCGGAATTGAAAATTTTTACATTTCTCGACGTTTTGAAGGTTTCTGAACGTTTTGGCATACCTCAGAAAAAATGGATGTGTGTGTGTGTGTGTGTGTGTGTATGTATGTGTATGGATACAAATTTTCGTCCACGTTTTCGGGCGTACGGATCAACCGATTTGAATGGTTTAAAAAACATTCGATTCCTATTAATAAGGAGAAGAGCTGATTAGTTTTTGGCAAAGACAGGTCCAGCAGTTACGGAGATAAGGAGCAAAGAGTGCAGAAAATAGAAATCGAGTTTTTGAGAGAACGGAGCATCCGATTTGAATGATCTAAAAAACATTCCATTAGTAATGATTGGGAGAAAGGGTTATTAGTTTTTCGCAAAGGCAGGCCCAGCCATTTCGGAGATACAGAGCTAAATGTACAAAAAATGGCAGTTTTTGAGAGAACTAAGCGTCCGATTCAATTGATTCAAAGAACTTTCTGCTTGTCTTAACAAAATAATTAATTTTGGAAAAAAAAAATTTTGTACCATTTTTTTTTTTTTTTTTTTTTTTTTTTTAATTTTTTGTATATCGAAAATAATTCAGATTTTATTTTTAATTCTGACTATAGTTCTAATATACTTTAAACAAATAATTTCAACTCTGCAATTCAGTTTATATAATTATTATAAATATTAGACAATAATACAATATTTATAATAATCTATTTGAAAACATTCAATATTCCTCGAACGTTTCGTTACGGTACGGGAAGTTCCAGCAATTTGCCTTAAGGCACGATGCCACCCACCCCACTAGTTAAAATTAATATTAAAAAAAAAATGTATACAATAATCCAACAAATACAAAATTTAGAAAAATCACACAATAACAATTTATTAGTGAATTTTTTTGTTAGAAACAATTGTCTATATTTTGATATATAACAGAATGATGGATTTTTTTCCTTATAAGCATTTTAATATATTAAATGTATATAAAAATAATTGCTAGTTTTATTGTGAGTTTCCAGCAAGTTTTTTTAAACCAAAAAACCATCAGATATACATATCATAGCTTTGCAATTTTCATATCATATCCTGGTAAATCCTTGTAATTTATTTCTTTAATATCTGGTATAAAAATAAATTCCCAACTAGTATATTTTTAAATTAATACCTTTTTGATATTTATATAACAAAATATAATTCAATAATTATACATTAAAAAATCACCTAGTTGAAGAAACTTTAAATTTTCAGTACAAATAGAGAAACAAATTATTATTATTAAAAAAAAAAAACAGATAAACAAATATAGTGCAAAAATACAATGAAAAAGCATACAAATACAAAAATTAGAATAATTGCACAATAATATTTTAATGACTAAAATTATATTCTTATTAAAATAAATTTAATAAATTCTAATTTCAAAGTCTTTAATAAAGCAGTATGTTTTATATTGTATGAAAATTTACAAAATTGAGTTAAGAACAAAAATAAAAACTACAAATTTCTTACACACACACACACACATATATATATATATATATATATATATATATGTAAATTTATAAATTGTATAAAGAATTTTGCATTTGAAATTTGTGGGTGTAAACAAATTATAAAACTTCTTGACATTTTAGACAAAATTCAGAAATTGCATTATATTATATTTATAAAAACAATGTTTAATTCTATTATTATTCTATTTATCAATTTATTATTATGACCTGGTGAAGGAGCCTTCCAGGAATATCGTCCTCCGGGGACCAATCCATGTTTCATATATATATTATCACAATTACACGCACATATTTGAAACTGAAACTGATTTAATATATAACATATCGATAATTGTATTAAATTAACGCATTATTTATAATATCAATATAATATTCGACATGTTTACACGGACTGCACAACTCGTATGTTTGTTATGTCAGTGAGGTTAGTTTCGAGTTCGACTTTCGAGTGAGCAGCTGTCAAAATTGACATATTTGACAGTAAAAGGAAAATGGCGGATGCAGGATGGCGCTCAATTTGAATAACAAACTTATGATATCCGTATTTGTATAAATCAATTAATTTGTTAAATTAATATTAATTATAAATATTATGTGTTCTAAAAATGTATTTCTAAAAATGTGGTATAACCATGGTATAACCAAAATCATCGACAAAACTCAACTATTAATTACAAAAAAACAAAAAGAATAATATTTACTAAAAACTAATCTTAAATAATAATTTATAAATATATTTGTTATTTTATAAAAACACACAAATTGCATTATTTCAAAATATATTCAATTTTTTTGAGCTCGTGCCTACATCGTTTTTATTATTTTTTTATAAAAATATAAAAAAAAAATACTAAAAAATCAGTAACAATATAAAAATAAATACATTTCTCTATAAAAGTTCTGGTTAAATAGCAAACCGTAGTATTAAACATCCACTCCTTGTTGATGCGTTTTTAAATCCTAAATAAAATATAATATTTGTCCAAATAGTTAGATGTTTTCCGTATAAAAGGATGTTCATATTTAACTCTGCCATCTGAATGTTCCTTTTTTTTGTTTTTTTTTCTCTTAAAGGTCGATCGAAAAGGAAGTACTCATTTCTCGTTAAAACCAAACCGTCACGAATAATCTTAACATGCTGATGGAAAAAACGATAAACCTAAGCATTTTATAAATTATGTCAGCCACTTACAGGCAGAGTGTTCGTGCGAATCTTTTTAAATTATAACAATAAATTATTTTTAATATAAAAAGTATTTTGTGTTTGCTCTGAACACATAAATTTTGTTCAAAACGCATCAATTATCCGCCAGAGTTTCTTTTGATCATACATTTCTTCTTCTCCACGGTCTGAATTTTCAATGTAAAGTTTGTACTTGGTTCCGAAATGTGTGGATACTTGTTTAATTTTTTTTATTTTTGATAAATGCAGCTCTGGCATAAGAGATTTTGTGATCCAGCAGTAATTTGCGGAGACCCTGCTTCAATTTAGTTGAGCAAAATCGACAAAAAAGTCGAATGACAAGTGCTGCTTCCTATCGCATGATGAGTCCTGGAAAGGATATAAATTACTAAAAGTTCGCTTAGTATAAAAACTGAGTTTCCAAAGTAGCGCGTTATTGGAGGGTCAAAATGTCAAATGTTTAAAATTTGCATAAACCTTATTTGCCATAGGTTTTTTTTCCCCCATCAGACCTCGACGCACAGCGACCTCGCAGCGACTGCAAGCACTGAGCAAATTAGCGACAGAATGGACGCAAACACCGCCGGCGTCACCAGGATTCGGCGAGATCGTCCTTTGCGTCAATCACAGCCGCATTTCGGCTTCTTCGGCGGCTTGCAGCAGCATCCGCAGCACGGCGGAGGCGGGCACGGAGGTGGGCACGGCGGAGGACACGGCTCAGGACGGCAACCGCAACCCTAGAAAATTAATAAAAAAAATATATCAAAATAAATAAATAAAACCAGTTTCAATTCAAACATATAAAAAGCTATCCATTATTTACCTGTGGTGGCGGTCTCTTAATCTTTTTCCTCTGGTCCTGGCAGCACACGCTCTGGGGTTCATGACAGTTGCATTCCTGGAAGGCGTTCTTCTGCAGAGGCTCCCTCACGCATTCCCTAAAGCACGGATAAGGGGGCAACACCTTGCAGCAGCGCTCAAATTTTCGCAATGTTTTGCGGACACAGCGCTTGTGCTGGGCTGGTTTGCAACCAGGCATGCAAATCTGGAAATAACGATATTTAAATGATTAAATTGTATAGAATACAAAGTCCTAAAAATTAAATAACAACGTCTTTTTTATTGCAACAATTTATTTGTGTTAATCTTATATATAAAAATAGATCGCAAAATGCGTTGGTAAGCGCATAACTCAACAACGCCTGGACCAATTTGGCCAATTCTTTTTTTTAAATTTTCGTTGAAGTCAAGGATGGTTCTTACGGCGAGAAAAAATCGAATACTTGCTGGAAAACTCTAAAAACAGCTCTTTTCTTTTTCACACGCAGACGTTTTCTAACTAAAACGTAGAATCGATTCGAGTTTTAATTTTTTTATAATTCGTAAATAAATAGGAGAATTAGAGAATTTATAAAAGTAGAGAAAAGAACTGGTAGATAGACGAATATCGAGACAAATAAACAGGTTGACAGGTTAATTGGTAGACATTCAGAACGGGATGGCAGGTAAAGTACTTATTGGTTGACAGGTAAAATAGTGTATTGATAAACAGGTTGATAGGCAAATAGGTTGACAGATAAATTGATAGACAGGTGAATTGGTAGACAAGTAAATTGGTGAAAAGGTAATTTGTTGGATAGCTGGTAGTTAGGTAAAATGGAGAGTATGTAAACTGGTAGATAGATAGATAACAAGACGGATAAACAGGGTGACAGGTAAATTGGTAGAAATGTGAAACAGGTTGATAAGTAAATAGGTTGACAGGTAAATTGGTAAACCGGTAAAATGGTAGATTGATTAACAAGTTGATAGGTAAATTCGTAGACAAATTGTTGAACAGATAGTAGTAACATTAAAATATATGTAACAAATACACATCTTTGTTCAACTAAATCACGACAAAGCGTGAACGGGTACAGCTAGTCTATAATATAAAAATAAATCGCAAAATGTGTTGTTAAGCGCAAAACTCAAAAACGCCTGGACTATTCTTTTTTTCAAAAAGTTCGTTGATGTCCAAGGATTTAGTTCTTACGACGAGAAAAAATCGAATAATTGCCGGAAAAACCCTAAAAACAGCCTTTTACTTCTCCACATACAAACGTTTTCTAACTAAAACGTAAAACACTGCCACATTACAAATTGTTTTGGCAGGACGAAGTCTGTTATGTCAGCTAGTCAAAAATAAAATAGAAAAGGTGCTGAAAATATTTAAAAATATGCAATCAAATCAAATCAAATGTCTTATCTACTAAAGGCAAATGATTATATAAAAGTAATTACATTCAAACCTTGACACACTTCGTTTTGGGCTTGGGCGGATCCTCAATGCAACACATACTACCTTTGCCCGGAGGAGGATTCTCACATGGTTGATCAGGGCTCTGATAAGTATTCATCCTAGCAGACGTATGTAATCCTTTAGCACCTGGTGGCACCTTTGGATTTGCTGGATCTGCAGCAGCTTTACCGCCAGCAGCTGGTGCGGGAGCACCACTGTTGGCAGCCGCTGGGGCAGGTGGGCTCGCTTCTCCTGAGACAGGTTTAGGCGTTGTGCTACCCCCAGAAACGGGTGCTGTAGTAGCACTACCTCCTGCGACGGGTTTTGGTGCACTTCCGTCCCCTGCAACAGGTTTTGGTGCTTTTGCATCCTGTGCAACGGGTTCTGGGGTAGCAGAGGCTCCAGCAATGGGTTGTTGAGTGCCACTGCTTCCAGCGACGGGTTGTTGAGTGGCACTACCTCCTGCAACGGGTGTCGGAGTGTTTTCTGGAATGGTTGCCGAAGGAGCAGCACTGCCGCCGCTTGCGACGGGTGTTGGAGCTGCGGCTCCGCCTGCCACAGGCACCGGGGTAGGAGCAGCAGGTGCATCTGGAGTTTTTTGAGTGGCAGGAGATTCGGTTTTAGGTGAATCTTTGGCGGATTTCTCCGCAGGAGCCTGAGAAGGTGCATCATTCTTTTTCCTGATTTAAAAATGAAATATTGGAGATTAATATTGTAATATTAACAATAACAAGCAAATCATTCTTACGATTGTAAAGTCGAAGCACTGGTATGGAAGGGTTGACCAGGCTTCTTGCGTTTTGGCTTCTCTGGATAACATGGGGGCTCCGTTCCCTTTTCGCAACATACCTTGGGACACTTTGGCGGTTTGTTTACCTGGAAAAAGTAAAATCAATTAATATCAAACCAATATTGAGGTATAATGCAATTTGCAATTTTTACTGACCAAGCATCTCTTGTACTCGTACAAGGGGTCTCTCTCACACTCTGCTAGCTTGCGGGGTCTTCCGTAATAGCATGTCTTAGGTTTGGGCGGCTTGCAAGCGTTGTCATCTACGCAACACACTTCGCAATCTTCTTTGTTCAATTTCTATTAAAAATAAACAAAATATAATAAGAATAAACAAAGAAGTAAAAGAAAAAAAATAGGTTTAAAATGTGGATAATATCTGGTATTCTCTTTGATTGTTGACCATGGTCACATATATACCATTATATATATGTATATATATAATATATAATATATTTAATATAATATAAATATATAATATATTTATTTATTTATATATATTTACCTTGCATTTGCCCTTCTTCTTTTTGCAAGAAAATGCGCAACATGTCTGCGTCGGACTCGCAGCATTCTGAGGCTTCAAAAGACCCAATTCCTAAAAAATAAAAAAATAATGCAAAATCAGTATTTATAAATAAATATTTAATTCAATTTTAAAATATTGTAATTAACAAATATAATTACGATATTAAAACCTTATAGAAAATATAATATAGACAGATTTATAAAATAATTATGAAGAGAGAAATAAAAACTACAAACAAAGGATTGATAATTGAAATTTAAAAAAATATAAAATAAATTAATAAGCTACGGAGTTATAAAAATGAATAAAATTACAAAAACATATCAGTTTTATAAAAACTCTGTTAAAATATTCAAATAGTTTAAATAAGTAACCGTAAACAAGACATTAACAAAAAAAATAAAAGTAAATTCACATTTCAAGAAAATGTTAAAGGTTAATATTAAAATCAGAAATTCGTTAAATCTAAAATAAAATAATAAAAAAATAATTATAAATTTAAAACTATATTGAATGTTA